GGAGATCTACATCCATATTGTAAAAGAGGGTAATAGAAGATGTATTAATGTGAGCTTAAAACCTTTAAACCTTTAAAATTATGGTTTTTTATTTTAATCTCTACTTTAAACGGTTTAATATTAAATGGCGCCCATAGTAGTTTTGCAATTTATTAAATGGTTACCTTAATTCATACTAGTTTTTGAGTATTTTCTTTATTTTTTAATTTGTTGTTTCCACTGAAGGAAAGTAGTTCTGAAATTCTATGCTTACATTTTAAATTCATTAAGTAGTTATCAAAATTTTTACTTGTTTCTGTTTACTTATCCTTATTTCGTCTTTAAAATTCCGCATCTCTTGTAGTTAGCTTAAATTAAATAATGCTGTAATCAAAGAGAGCTCGAAAGCAAGATGCAGTCCTACTTCCCCTCCGCTTAAGAGTGGCGAAACCAACTATATATCACAATGTCAGCGCTCTTAACATAGTTTATCCTTGTGTCCCTGTCGTTGTCCTTCTCTATCTCCGCATCTCCGTATCCTGCCGCATCATCCTTCCCCTCCGCCGCCATTATGCACACGTCGCGCATAACCATAACGATTATGTTAATGCTCTGCAGGGTGGTGCAAGGGGCATGAGTGGGTGGTTGGGTGGCCGGGTGGTTCAGTTAGCTGGAGAAGAGAACGCCTTGCTCTCAGACTTGTTCTTATGCCGGCTACCTGCTCGTCAGTCGCCTTGGCTTATTTCTGCTTTATTTACATGCTCTAAGTAGTTGTAATGGGTTCCCCACAGTCGCGACAAAGTGTTGGCAATAAAGCCAGATCTCGTCCTTGGTTTTTGGCCATAGAGTGGCTATAGAAACCATGAATGACTCCGGCTAGTTTTTCCATTTTCGCATGACGCATAGCTCGTTTTGGGATTTGGCTAACGACCAATGTGTATGTGTGTGGATAATGAGAGGCGAAGTGAATTACACAACGGATTGAATGGGGAAAAGGATTTTCTGGGGGTCGTGCCTAAAAATTGTGAATGTGCAGAGCCATTTCCATGCGATGAAACGTCATAAAGACGGCATTACGAGGCACAGACCCGAAAAACTCAATTGCGCATGCAACGGCCGTTGGGAAAGCGTAAAACTTTCAATTTGCGTTAATGGCATTAAATAAAGTCACTTGCACGCACCCCCACGAACATTATCTCGGAAGCGGAACGGGAAACGGAAACCGATGCCGAATACCGAAACTGAAAACGAAACTGAAACCGAACCGAAACCCAACCCACTTGGGCCACTTCAATTGGCCAGCCACTCAAAAAAAGGTTGCGATAGCCGCTCAAATGGGCTCATGTCCTGGGTGTAAGTGCAGGTTGTGATGTTTTCTTTGCCTCGGCAATCGCATTAAAAATCATTGGCGAGGCATTTGCAAGGTGGCCAAAACACGGCACGAGCCCCAACCAAACCAGACCAAAATAAATAAATAAAAGTCGGCAACGAAAATAGCATGCGTGGCAACAGCAACAAGAGTTTCGTTTTCGGCTTAAAGCGAGTGAAATCTGGCCAAAAACAACCGACGAAGGTGGCTTGCCACCAATCAGGCAGGAAAACAACATGAAATTTCCGAGCTGAGAGGTTGGGGAATGTTGTACTTTAGATAAAGTTGCCGCTGCTCCGTGTTTGTGCTTGATGTTTTTTAGACTTTGTTACCAACATTCGACATGCAATGCACGTAATGCCACAAAAACACATGCACACTTTTAGGCGCACACAGATACTCACTAACAAACACCTGGCGAAAGTTTTTCTTGAGAGACTTTTATCCCACTTTGCTTGTTGTGATATTTTTCTTCTCCAGTTTGTACTCTTGCAGAGAGTGTGATAAGTTTTTCCAGAAACTTTGCCTGAAGCCAGATTTATATACTTTACTCAATATATATAACTATATATACTTTTTCTTAATCATCATTGAACTTTTTAAATTCGTGCCAGTTGTGCAGAGCTAAAAATACACAGCTAGAAAATTTTATTCTGAATATTCTTTTTCATAAATTTATGATCAATGCAAATAATGATGTTAATTTTTTTAGAAAATTTTTAATTTGTGAATTTGATTTATTTTTACATTTTTGTTTCACTTTTTTTTAGCTCTTTCAAAGTATAAATCTGTAAGCCCAAATAAAATTCGGTTAGGGTATCTTTAGCATGGCATTTCCCGCATTTTCACTCAGCCTGATTTCTTGGTCTCCATTGTTGGGTTTATAAAAGGGAAAAGTACACAGAGAAAATGCAAAGCTCAACCATTTGCCAGGACAACCTAAGCCATTCCCCTGTCACGCATCCGCCCCGTGGGCCGTCGTCAAAGAGTGGGGCCCACTTTTCGGGGCAAGGCCGAATGTTGAACATGATTTGTATTTTACTTACATACCGTTGAGTAAATCACATGCACAAACACAGACACTTCAGAAACTGAGAAACTTGGGCATTTACCGAACAACCAGCAACAACAACTACAGTAACAACAACAAATAAGAACAAACAACAGAACAACAAACAGACAGCTAACGGCAAACAACAAACAACAAACGGCAGGCGAAACAAATTCGAATCTCTCCCTGGGAACTTTGCTTTACTTCGATGTCTGCCCTCGACTCACTGCAGTAATAATAATAAAGGGAATTGTTATTGTTTTCTATTAATTTACTTTTGTTGCTGCCTGTTATTGTTGTTTCCTACTGCTCTTTAGTTGCCATTCCCATTGCCACGTGTGTATTGGTGTGTGTGGGTGTGTTCGGGTGTTTCGTGTCTTTGGTGTGTAGCATTTTTGTGCTCTTGTCTGCATTTGATTTGATTTGTTTGGTCTTGATTTTATCTGATGAAAAATTGCTCAACCACAAGATCTGAGTCTGAGGTCTCTGCTGGAAATTGTCTGTCAGCTCGGCACTGAAGTGAGTAAATTGATATAAATAGATTTGAATTTGGATCTGGAATGTTGTTTCCAAGTAAAGTTTGAAAAGGGAGAGCGGTGTGTAATTTGAAATAAAACCATGTTTGTTGTAGCTTCCGAGGACTTGCCACAATTTTCCTTTCATTCCTAATATCAGAAAAAGGCTACCACTTAAAAATATTGGTTGTTTCTATTAATAAGAGCATGTATCAGCAAATGAATCAGGACTTGTTAGAAATAAAGTTTTAAATTGCTTTAGAGGAATACATTTTTTCTTTGAATGACCATACAGCAAACTGTTCTTCAATTTAAAATCAAAAAGGAAATTCTTGCTCTTTTTATGCAACGCTTTTTATTAAAACTTTTAATGCAATCAATAGAAAACTTTGTAAAATGGCATTAGAAGTGGAATATAAACGATATGTTCTTCAATTTTCATAAAATCCCGCAAATGCAATGGAAAATATCTTAAACAAAATGTTCAAGATGAGAGGCAGAAACCAACTTCATTGCCAAAATGCAGATGGAAAAAAATACTTGGCATAAAATCGTTTCGTTTCTGCATATTCCGGTTCTATTTCAATAATAATAAAAGCAAAATACTCGAGATTGGTGCTGCGGAGCAACTGCAAAATATTTCTAATAAAATGGCGGGCTTACATAAATATTTAAACTAAGCAGAGGCATGAAAAGCATTTCTCTATCTGCACTTAGGACTCGCCTAGAAATGGAAAATAAAAGCCTTATCCTTATGCCAGCTGGCGGCGTTGTGTTTTCCTGGTAAGAAGTGAAAGGACTCGAAGGAGGAGCAACGTCTTCGAATTTCCTCCTCCGAAACTGCATCCCTCGCCATCCTTCGACGTCCTTTGGCATCGATCCTTGGGCCCACGCTGCTTAAGTGAGTGAGTGAGTGATGAATAAGTCCTGTGTGTGCGTGGCTCTGAATGCGAATGCGAATACGAATGCAAGGATGTAGGCCAAGCCAGCTGTCCTTGGGCCAGAAAGCGCTTTTCAATAGAAAACTCAAACTGGCAACATGTTACAGATTGCTTACTAAGACTCCGGCTTTGGCACACTCTCAACTAAATCTGCATTGCGTGAAAGGTTGAAATGGGCTCGCAATGAGAACAACAATTTGGCGAACTTAACTTGGCTTCCGGCCATTTAAGCTCCTTACCAATAACTTAAGAATTGTTCAACTAAGTTTTGTTTAAGCAATATGAATATCTGCAGTAATTTACAAAACATAAATAAATATAAATTTTGACAAACTCTTAAAGTTCCTGATTTTTATTTCAAAGTTATAAATTGGAAATTGGTATGTATTTTTTTTTTTTTAAGCTTTAAAGTATTATAGATCTTTTACAAACCATCAAAGGTATATTTTCTATTTGAATGTTCTCTTCTTCTGTTCTGATTTATTAGTGGAAAGATATTTGTACAACTGTTTTGCAAATCAACGATTTTCCGCGCTGCCGAATTTCCGTTGGAAGCATTCGTAGGGCTGTCTGTCAATTGGCATTTGTTGTTCACCGAGTTGGCTTCAATTTGCTGCACGCACTTTCGACGCCTTTCGGTTGCAAGTTGCTTTTGTTTTCGCAGCAAAGTGGTGGGAAGGAAGAGGGACAAGGAGGGATCCTCCTCCGCAGGACAAAACAGAACTGATATAAGCCAAGTGTCTATCTCGCATCTTGTTGCTGTCATTTCAGGCTAATGTCTTCGCTCCATTTTCCCTTTTCGTGTTCAATGTCTATCGTCATTCCCATTTGGTTTCCGCTCGTCCTTCTCCTTTTTTCCCTTTTTTTTCCAACCAGGCATTGCACAGAGTTGTTGGTTTGTTGTTGTTTCCGTTTTTTGCTGACACAGTTGGTAGTTTTTCCGTTCGTCCTTGATACACATCATTCAAGCCTGCTTAACGTGTCCCATCATATTAACTCGGCCAAGATGCCGGCGGATGTTTTTCCTCCTCGGCTAGAATTTATGCTGAAAGAAGAATCTGACTGTCAGTTTGGGTGGATTGAAGAAGACGTTTGCTTGAATTAATTATTTGATTAAAAAGGACTCTCTTATTTTCTACTTGCAGTTCCGCCAACTACTTTGGAAGGTCTTGAAAGGTATGTAAATTAATGTAATTCAAGTTGAAGAAGGCTCACAGAACCTCTACAAAACTATATTTATCAGTGAGCGTGAGTAAATACTATTTGGATTATTCTACCAAAAGGTTTGTGGAATGATTATGACATGCCAAATGATATTAGGTGCTCTTTAAATAGTAATAACATATAAGAGAAAAGACCAAATCCTCTTTAAACTTAATTAGAACGGCCATATACCATGTGTTTAGAAAGTAAGCTTACCAAAGTGAGCAGCAAATTTTCGAGGAATTGGCCAAATGTCTCCCAGCGGGCTCGAACACCTGGCTCCATAGAGGGCATCTGGGGTGAGGGGTCTTGAAAAGAGCTCCCTGGGTGACTTGGAGCCAGGCAAAGTTAAGCAGCTTATGGCCCGAACTGATCAATAATAAACGAATTTAGTCGGGAGCTCCGGCTCATTACGGATGCTCCGGGTGCTGGGGATTCTCAGTCGGAAATTTATAATCCAGCGGGCGAACTGCAATTAAAACGACTTAATTGTTTATTAATGCGCACTTCCCAGCCACGGCGTGAAAAAATAAATTAATTAGTTGCTATTTTAAATATGGCGCAGACAATTTAAAATGCCACGCCAGTAAAAATAAGACCCCATCGCCACGAAGGGTCGACTCCTTTGATTTATGCTGCCTGCACTTGTTCGAGGGGCTGCATCTGAATCTGAATCCGAATCAGAATCTGGGAAATGGAAATGGGGGAGCCAATTTAATTGCTCGCTGGATTTTCACACTAAGTCCATGTTTCCTGCAAACAGCACAGAAATAGCCCCTTGAGTTGGGGAGAACTGCGAACAAGAACTCAAGAAATGGGGGATATATGGGGATATAGTCGGAGGAAAAGAGAGAGAGAGGGAGAAGGAGCTAGCATGTCGTGTGATGATTAATGAGACAATTTTTATGACATCGCACAGTGGGCGAGCGCATGTAATAGTCCGCCGACATAAATATCCGAAATGTTGGGGCATTAAGAGGAAATGGGCAGATATTAAATTGATTACTTTACTAGCGCTCGAGAGAAATGGGTGGATTTCTTGGAAAATTCAAGACATTTCGTAAGTCTTTAAAGCAGCTAGTCTAGTCGAACGAAGATTCTTATGTTTTTACATTTACAGAAATTCATCAAATTGATTTAAAAAAAAAAAAACTTTTTAGTACCTGTGCCTTGCAATAAAATTCTTTCAATTTTCCTAAAATCTTTATAGTTCATCAAATAAATCGTAAAGAATGTTTAGTCTAAATTTTGAAATGTTGTTGTATCATTTATTGAGTGAGCAGCAAAATCAATTAAAATTTTTTTAATATCAACAAGAAAACAAAGTCACACATAAGCTTTTATTAGTAAATAAAAATAAGCATATTGAAATAATTTTTTATACTTTCAACTTATACTTAATTTAAATAGGCATTTCTATTTAAATTGCATTGATTTTAAGTGAAGATAAATTTCTTTGGGAATATTCAAGAGTGCAAGACGACAGTGATTTCAAAATGGTTTCTTTTGGTAAAGAACTTGAGCAGTTCATGCATATTTAATCCCCTGCTAGACTTTGTCAGCAGCCAACTGCAGTTGGGGGAATGCCGCAAACCGCCTAGTCGGAAAAGTAATCAATTCGGCTGTCGCACAACTGCCAATCCCGACCACTGTGCCACCAGCTCCTCCGAATCGCTCTCCTTCTGATCCAAGGGGCACGGAGACTTGTCGCTGGCACATGAATAACATGAATTGCGTTATGAAAAATGTACAACAGCGGTTCGAGGAGATGGATGGATGGCTGAGGAGGGGAGGGGAATGCGAATGGGGATGGGGATCGAGATGGGAATGGAAATGGGGAGCTTTCGGGTCTGCCGCCATCATTACAGAGCTGAGCGATAAGCGACGTTGCATGCGGCGACACAGCCGACGATTGCAATATGATGGATATGTCCGTGCGGCACATGTGTGTGTGTGTGCGTGTGTGCCAGCGACAGACAAGAATGCGAATTGATGTGTCACGTGGGTGCAGTGCTGCTGACTTTGAGGGATTTATATGGAGAGCGCTGACAGCTGGCAAAAATTAGCTGCCACTCCCGGATCCAAGTTGCCATCCCCGAAATGCTAAACTCCTGGCGGCATAATTAGCACAAACCCGAAACTTTTCGACTCCGACAGCAAGTGCTTACCATTATTATTGCTCTGGTTGCATGCATAAGCGACTCGTCAGGCCGCAACTCAAATTTTGAGCCCGAAATCCCAAAATGTCAGTGGCCGGCAGCAGACAGTAGAAAGTAGACAGCAGACAGTAGACAGAAGACAGTAGACAGAAGAGAGCAGAGAGAAGACAGAGGAAGGCTGTCAGGGGACAGGACGTCAGGCTGGAGCAGCTGCTGCCTGCCAGCTGCCAGTTTTCCAGTTTTCCAGCTCCACAGCTCCCCAGCTTGCCAGTTTGCCAGTTTGCCAGTTTGCCAGTTTGCCAGTTTGCCAGTTTTCGGCTTGTAACAATGCAACAGAGCACTCAGCAAAACTGCAGCAGCTCTCAACGCTCTCATTATTCAAATGTGTTTTTCGATTTGGCCAGAAGACCTCCCCAACAACGCCTGGCCGAAATGGCAGCACTCTGAGAACCAGAGAATTTTTCACATAAAGCCATAAAGCAAGTGCAATAAAAAGGAACTACAAAAACGCAGTTTAAATAGGTTGAAATAACAAGAGAAAGCATTTAAAAATTCGGATCCGAGCATAAAAAATTTACATTCTGTTACTCCACCCCGGGAGCTTAGAGCCTCTACAATTTCTTGTAGAGGATTCATTATCATTGATTTTCGATCGTACCGGTGATAAGCCAGTAGCGACTTATCCTAGCGGTGGGGTTGCCACCTGGCGCCATCTAGGAGTGACGAAAATTCTATTGATGGGTCCATAGTAACGTGGACGAGGGGGTGTGCGGGTCCGGGGAGCCGAAATTTGTTACTAATGTTAAGTGAGCGATAGAGCATAGAAGTGGTGGAGATTTGGAAAAAGAGACCGTTTCTTTTTCTCGGGGAGCCTGGGGTTCGACTTGAACCCGGGCCTTCCGAACCGGAGGCCAGCGCTCTACCTGCTGGGCCACCGTCCCCCCGAGCATAACACGTACGTTAAAATATGTTTGAATTAACAATATTTGTATTTTTTTATTATTTTTGTTTCGGTATATTAATTCAGTACGGGCCTGGTTTAATTTTTGCCGAGATTGTGCAAAAACACGGGCAGAAAATGCAATCTCAACAAACAAAAGCCAAAAGTGCAAAGTGCCACTCCATCTTGATCTCAACTCTAAAATATTGGTAATCATTAAATGGAACATAATATGGTAAATAAATTAAATTTGAAATGTTGCAAACGTAAAGTATCGTAAGACTATTATTATTATTTGCTTTGTTAACTAGAAAGAGTACAGGATAAAATCTCATTAGTCGACAATAAATTCAAATTTATAATTTTAAGGGAGTACCTTTACTGTAATATAACAAAATAAAGTTTAAATTAAATGTTTATCGAGTTTTTATAATTTTAATTTAACACTAAAGGGTCGCCAAATATGAAATTTATAGGAAATCTATATGCTTATCATCGATATCCCTACAAAATTCTTTTTGGTAAAGAAGACTTCTCTTTAAATATCACCGAATATATTTCAAGCTATTTTGCAGCTCCGCAGCCACGCGGGTTATCTCTTCACATGTCATGCATTTTGTAGCCCACTCTGCGCAATCCCCCCAACCTTCCCCCTCGCCCCTCTGTCCCTCCAGCTTCCTGTTCTATTGCCGTAACAAATCCATTTTACCTGTCAGCTTTAACGCGTAAGCAAATGGCAAGCGGCAGCAGCTGGCTAAGAAAGAGCGCAAAAAGCGCAAAAACCCAAAGTGGAGAGCAATCTACATAGATGAATGTACCTGTGTGGGTGGCTGCAGGCAAACGTGTGTGTATGTGTGTTTCGGGGGGCGTGGCACTGTGGGAGGCGGTCTGATATATTGCCGGGCGCAATTAGAGCGCAGACCGCAGAATGAAACGAAACGCTGGCTGCCGTGTAAACAAGCCACAATTGCGCAGGCAACGAAAACGAAAATGGAAATAATTAAGCTGCGGAAAAACGTACAATAAATACACTTCCTAAAAAAATATTGCAAGCTTTTAAGAGCAAACAAAAATACTGTTAAATTGAAGCAGATAAATTCCGATTAACGTAAACCATATATTTATATTAATGGAGCAAGTGCTTATTATTGTATACAAACGTGATAGTATTCAAAGGATATAAAACTCTATAATACCAAGGAATTCCAAATCAGCTATTGATTTATATAACCAATTTAAAATATATTTCTAATACATTTTTTACTACAAAAATGTGTTAGAAATATAAATTTTTTTAAATATTCTAATACTATTACTACTATTATTTCTTTAATCTCTCGGGAAAGCCAGGTTTGGATAAATCAAAAGAACAAATTGAACATTTTTTTATATTTAAAAAAAAAACGTTCAAGAATGTAAAAAAGATTTTGCATCAACCAAATTTATTCAAGATTCCCCATACCCTTTTCGCCAAAAGAAAAACGGAAATAAATTTTTGCGCAAACAAAATCAAGCACATCCCGCGAGCACACACACATACACACAGACACTAATACAGAGACGGGGAGAAACCGACATTCACATTTAGACAATCAGACTTTTGTGCTCATGTCCTCCCGTGTGTGTACACGGAACACACACAATTGCAAATTACGAAACGAATTCCGAGCAAGTCGCAAATGGAATCGCATTAAATCAAATCAAACGAAACGAAATCAAATGACTCAGTTCTGGGCAGATGGCTCCCTGGGAAGAGGAAATTGTGATGGGGGAGGAGGGGTTGGGAGGCTGGGAGGCTGGGAAATTCCCCATCGAACGCCGTGAAAATCTCAGATGACATCTGAGCATATTGTCGACTAATTAAACGCATGTGCAAGGGGGCGTGGTCCGCACACGTGGTGCCTCCAATAGGCACTAATTAGTCTCGGGGCAGCGACAATCTGACTGACTTTGTTCTCGGGGCAGAGATCAAACGCTTTCGACTTCTCGGGACTGCCGCACAGGTCCTCAATTCAAGTCAATTTGCACTCTCCTTTTTATTTGGGCCCGTCCCTGGGCGGCATTTTTTATGCCGTGTTTACCCCCCTGCATTTGGGGGCGAGCAACAGCGAAATTAAACGAAAACACGCCATTCGCGAAAGATCAAAGCGGATGCGACACGTCTTTGGGGATCCCGAAATTTAGCAAGCCTCCGCGCTGCGAAATTTAAATGAGTTGCACCGTTTAGCAGGGGAACATTGTAAGCATTGAATACTATTATTAGTATTTCCATTATCTTATAAGAATTTATTTATGCACTTCTTTTCAAGGCTTTAAACGTCACTGTGGGAAAATGAGGAAAAGGACACAGGGTAAACCTATTGTGGTTCGATTTCTATTTTATTCAAAACTCAATGAACTTAACATTTATTGAGGAAAGTAATAAAAATGAAATGTACAAACATTTAACCACCAAATAGTCATATTACTTAAGTCTTCCATAAACTTCAATACTGCGAATAAGTGAAATTATTTGTTAACTAATTAAAATCCAAAAGATTACTTACCGATAAATACAAGTGGAATTGGCACCGTGATTGGAGTTAATGACAAAGGCGAGTCTTCGAAAAAGTGACTTGCTGTGCACAGTGTAGCTCTGTGTGCGCTTGTTGGCTGCATTATCGAAGGTCCACTGTCCCAGAAGCTCCCGCTTGGCATTGCCCTTCGGGAGACCCTAAAAACAAAAGATGTGTTTCCAAGAATCCGATTCCATTATGGATCGCCACTCACGTAAACATCAAAGTCCTTGGGGGCACTCTTCACGCACAAGCTCGGTGTCATTTCGCGTGCCACGTGTGTCAAGGAGAAAGCCTCTATGACGATGGGTTTGGCCAGGTGCAACACCACTGTTGCATTGCTTCCTTTGAAGCCAAAACAGGAGCCCGCCGACAAACTGGAACGCAGCATATTCACCGGTGGATTGGCACTGAAGTCAAGTCCTAGTAATGATTTTAATATGTTGGTTCCCTCAATGGGTTGAGCCTTCACACTCAAGATCCTTGCACCCAATTCCTCGGAAGCGTAGTTAATACGAGTTTTTGCCAGAGAGGAGGTTTCCTTTGGGGGAATCGGAATGGATTGGGCACTTCTCGCAGAGCAATCGTTGTTCATCATTTGCTTCTTCAGGTTGTACACATCGTCCATCAGGTGACCGATCTTCCTTTTAAACAGAGTATCCACGTAGGCGCTCACATCCCTGTTTTCCCACTTTCCCGAACCGCATCCTTTTGGTTCTCCTCCGAAGCAGTTGAACTTTCCCGATATCTGGGCTTCCTTGCTCTCCATCTGCTGCTGGTGAAGCATGTGCTAAAGAAATCCTTTTAACTTAGTAAGTGTTTAAGCACTAAATACTATTCTTACCGCTATATCGTCCACATCCTCTCGAAGTCGCGATATTCCCCTGTCATTCCTGCTGTTGTGAGCCATTAAGTAGTAGAAAAACGCAGAGAGCAGCACGAAGGAAAGAAAATATGTGACGCAGATTCGCTTGGCAACACGTCGACAGGCGTCCATTTTTAATGTGGAAATTCCAGTCAGATTTGCAATACTTGTAGGGATATATACACCTAAGATTGTGTTTCCCACTACGAGTTTTTGGTCAGATTGAGTTTCGGATTGACAGCTTAAATCGTTTTGAGGTGGCTTTCTTAGATTTAAAGAAATAATGTATAAAGTATAGTACTGTCATTGCCCAACGATAATTGGGGTTCATAAATTAAATAATGTAGAAACGTTCAAGTGCAATAATTGAATAGTGTAAAGACGATCTTTTATATCCAAACATTCTCTTAACCTTTGCACTTTGTAAAAACATTCGTTATATAAAAGTTAAATGAAGTAATATCTACTTTTTGGTAACGCCTTTTATCATCCGATTCTTTGCGACACTTAACCAAACCGAGGAGTGGGCGATAATGTCGCCAAAGGAATTCGATGAATCAAATTTAATTCGCCAAGAAAATCGCTGGAAAACGAACAATCGTTGAGAATAATGAGGCGAAATCGCATTAGGTGCGCAGCATCTGCGAAAGTCTCTAATTGTCAATGGCTAAATAATTGAGAGCCGAGAGCAAAAGAAGCGAATGGAGGGAAAGCGAACGGAACGTAATAGCATTAAGGAAAAATCCAAATGAAAATCACTTTAAATGCTAAACAGCTGGTTGGTTGCTTCTCGGCGGAGGCGAAATAAAAAACACACAAAGCGCCGTTGGCCCTTTAAGCATCCATTAAAAATTTAATAACTTTGGCCCCGGCCCAATGCAATTTTGTGAAATTTTCTAGCAAAATTAATTAGTCAAACAATCCATCAGGACCGGACCTTAACGTGGCCAGTGCCAGCAAATTATGCCGGCCGAAAGGCCGTTCCACAAAAAAGGTACGAAATCCCGCAGAGAAGGAAGCAACGTGAACGTGACCATCCTCGTTTTGGGCCGAGGATTTTTCACCCGAACTGGGGAGTCCTGTGGTCCTGCTCACGTGCGTTGCCTAAGCTGGCAAAATATTGACCCGGCTGGGAAATTCGGTCTGCGTCCGAAGCAGAGGTCCAACACTTCAAAGGCCGCAACGAATGTAATTTTAATCAAAAATTGCTCAGCCCCATGGAAATCCCGATGCAGGAATTCAGGTCGCTAATCCTTCTTAAAGGCAAGCTGTGGGCTTAGGTGGAATACTTTTACGCATTTCATTTCCATACATTTACGGCACACTCAAGCACAAATATTTCTGAATAGATTCCAAGAAAACGGAGCAGTCGAGTTCAGTTTGTGGGCAATAATTTTCCTGTTTAATCGACTTTTGTGCTGCGCAATCACGACCCGAAACATTGAGAGGGTGATGGAGACATGTCCACAGACAGGGGACAATTAATTTTTAATGCAAGTCGCTCGGCAGATCAGCAGCAGAACCGGACACAAACAAAAACGGCGTCGTTGAGAGCAAGTGCCGCTGCTAATTGCACTCATTCACACGGCAAGCGCAACAAAGGAGCTCTGAAGAGGCATCCACAGCGGCAACAACTGCCGGTACAGCCGGGTTGCAACAACAGCAACAGACGGCAAGTCGGGGCGAAGGGCGGAGTCTCCTTGACGCACGGAAACGGAAGCGTTAGTTGCAAGGATATGTTGCAGGAATGCACAATAGTTGCGGCCACCTTGGGTCAAGGCTAAAAGTTTAACTGCCAAAAAACAATGGATCTTTATGATTTTAGATAAGGAAAAAAATTGAAAGCTTAAACTAAGAATCCTTTAATGGCAATATCAACAAAAGTTAAACAAATTTCATTCTGTTTTATTTATTCTTTAACAAGTCAAAATCTTAATCTAAAATATCTATAATATATCTAATATACATTCTGACCATTGCAGGAAAAGATTTTAAAATCTAATTTAAATTTTGAAAATGTGTATTTGTAAGTTAATGGGCATTCCGTAGATTTATTTGAGGAACTGTATTATTTCCAAATGTAACAAAATAGAGGAAGATTTAACAATCTTGTTTAGCATCCGTCTAAAATAAAAATATTTGAACGATTACAGATTTTTAAAAATTGTGTGTGACTTCACACGATGTTCAAACCTAAATTTCTCTTTGATATCTTCTCCAAAACATCCTGGAATGTATTGCAGTGCCTTTCACGTATTTAATTTAGCCTCTCCTAGGAATGATTAGAGGAAAGCATTGTGTATCAATCACCTTTGGGCCCCATGAAGGTAATTTGGCCCCACTGTGCGAGCTGCGACTGTGTGCACTGCAATTACGTGCCATTGAGTCAGCCCATTGTTGGTGCTCTGCAGATAGCAAATAGTCCCATTCCGAGGGACTCCCTTCGGAGTCCGGCGTTTACGACGCCGCCCTCACCCGCTCCTCTTCAGTGTCATTGCCTATTTCCGGCGTAATTGTTATGCCAATTTTTAAGGGCCAGCCAGTGTGTGAAATTAAATGGAAATCAAATAAAGCCAGGGAGAGCGAAAATAACACATAAGTGCGGTTGAATTCGCAGCGTTAAATGTTAACAGTCGATTCTGCGATGCACACAGAAGACACATAAAAATATCAACGCGTATTTGCGTGCTCCTTCCTTATCTACTTGCAAAGGCCCAAAACCCTTCCCCGATAAAGCCCCCGTTTTTTTCTCTTTTTTTGGCCATCAGCCGCTGACATTCCTCGTCATCATCATTCCGGCTTAGACTTCGGGGGAGTGCAAATTGACAATTTCTGTGAAATTGCACAAATACGAGCCTGTGCTCCAATTTTTTATGGCAAATTACCCAGCCGCATGTGTGGATAGCTGGGGGCGTGGGGCGCAGTATGGAAGGAGGGGGCGTGGCAGGCAGGAAAATGTCATAAAACCGTTTGGTAGACGCTGCGCTACGGCAAGGTTTTTATGATTGGTTTTTAGGCGGCTTTCCCCACCCGAAAATGAGCAGCAAAGAGGCAAAATAAAAAGGGAAAAATAAATAAAATATAAACTGCGTTATGTTTATGCGCCAGAAAAAAGAGCCGAGCTGAAAAAGCTATCAGGACATCATCAGCCAGCGTATAATTAAACATTACGCAAGGGCAATAAAAAGATGAGACAAAAAGAAAAGGATTTTTCAGCATTTGAACGGCCTCAAAGAGTCCAATAAAATATGCAGCATATGTATTTACGATAATACAATGAATGCTGATTAGCCTCCCACATTTTATAGGCTATTTATAATTTGTTTAAAAATAAATTTCACCAAAATATAGTTTAGATTTACCCGCAACTTTCGTAAGCCTTTTATACTGTCTTTGAGCCAAAACAAGTTTTGTGAAAAACAAATTTATTCCTTGGTGGGCTGCTAAATTTTCCTTTGCAGCTGTTGTTTTCGAGAAAACTTTTTCCTATATTAAAAAGCAATTAGGCTGCATATAAGAGTGCATAAAAGTTAATAAACAGCACACAAAACGAACCCGAAACGCATTATATTCCTGGCTTTATTAAGCCTTGTTTAGGGTATTTTGGTAATAATTTATTCAAAATAAAAAGTGTCCCCTCCGGAATTTGTTTTCGATAGCAGGAGTGTTCCGCAGCATTTGCGAAACTTTAAAAGCAATTAAAAAGTTTGTGCAGTGCTATGATTTCCCCTTGCCACTCACCTTTAAGGTTGAAATGAACTTTTCGGGCAGCAGCTGGCGTTGGCCGGGAAAACGGCAACATTAGGGCTCAGAAACACACACACACACATACCCGAGGCATAGACATAATGATAAACATAATATGCCGCTGAGTGCCTGGAAGTATGCTTAATTCTGTGCAACTTTAGTGCCTTTAAGTTGCAGGCGGGACGCAAGAAAAGGGAAAGGAAATCCCCTTAAGTGTTCGTTCGCTGGACGCTGGGAAAACTTTGCTCCCTTTTTTTCCTCCCCTGCCTTAGTCTAAGTGCACATGCCACAAACAACAAACAGAGAAAGCTGCTAGGCAAATGTACATCGAAATGCGCACTGGCAGCAGGACGAAAGTGCTCAAAGGAATGCCTGCCAAGGAGAAGGAGAAGGAGAAGGCGTTTATTTGCGTTTATAATGTGTGAGCTATTAAAATTTTAGAGGCTGTTAGTGGGGCTGTGCGCACTTGAATTAAAATTGTTTCTGCTGCAGCATAAAATGAAAATTAGTTGATTTTTTATACGCTGCCAGCGGAAGGCGCTCGGCTCTTAAAGCTTTTAGGACGGCACCAGCTGCTACTCTGTGCTCACGGAAAAGTCTTTTAAGTGAAAATTCTCACAACGCTTGTTTGGATTACATTCATATTCATATTCATATTCGTACTCGCATTTGTATTTGTGTTTGTGTTTGAGTTTGTGTTGGCAAGCGTAAAGTGGAAATTAACATAAAACAGCGGCGACGCGGACAGAATACTTAATGCCAAGCCGAAGCGGCGATGCCCTCGAAAAAATACGGAAATTAATTGCACACAAGGAGCCTAAGATCTCTGCGGAACATAAACATTTAATTTATGCCGCAGAATCGCAGAATCACAGTCCATGGACTCTTTACCTTTATCTGTGCCACATCACTCCCACTTCTGCAACCCGCAGCGCTTAACGAACCCAAAAGTCCCGGCTCTTTTATTTACTTTTATATAAATATTTTTTGCCGTAAGCCTTGCCATTTTTTGCACCTCTCGGATTCAGCTGCAGCTTATTTTTGATGCATATTTTATTTTGCCATTGCATGCGTAATTTTATTTGCGCCACGCCCCCCGCCCACCTCTCCACGGTGTTGTTGCTGTTGTTGTTGCGGCTAGTTGCGGGCTCGTAATTCGTGGCGAAGGTATAAGTTTTATGACCACTGCCGCGATTTTTGTAGCTACGGTGGGTAGAGATGACCATTTAGCGGATTACTAGCTAACACCAAGTTACAAGAAATTATTACCCTTAATAAGCCATATGCAATATTATGACAAAATACGCAGTTGAAACTGTTACCATTTTATTGTTTATTGACTGTGGTTTTAAGTAAGTGCAGATTAAAAAAAAACCTTCTTTTTTTAAGACCCATGAAAGGTTAAAATTTATATCTGAAGTTGCGATGGAAACTGTTACAAATTTATTCTTCATTCAATTTAACGACCAGTTATTTGACACATTTAATTAATTTTATTGATGTAACAAAAAATCACTTTATTATTACAATATATGACAAACCACAAAGTTGTAAATTATTCTTTAACTAAATGTGCTTTTGTTTTGTATAAATATTTAAATCGACTTTTTTGCATGCCTTCAAAATAATTGGTCGAATGCCTTGTGGCTTATTAACCAAACAAAAAATGCTATTTCCTTCGAATATTTAAGCATTTTTTTGATAGCTGCAATCGACATCACAGGTGGCTGCTGCTGGCGGGTCTCCTTTGGCATGTTGTAAAAAATGTATGTGCATTCTACAACAAACTGCTGCTTGTTGTCGCCACTGTGGCTGCACCTGGGCGGACTGTTGTCGTCGTCTCGCTGCCAGAATATGCACGGCAATGTGCCAAATTAAGTGCTCTGCCTGCCAAAAAGGAGCAGCGAAAAAGCACGGCCAAAACAGATCTCGACGGGACGAGAGAGCCAGAGTGCCAGGACGGCGCTTAAGTTGTGATGTAAATTTTAATTTCCACATGTTATGACATTCTCGCAGCGCCCTTTGAAGTTTTCCCACGTTTGCATGGCTAATTTCGGGTGAGGCTTTAACGGGCCCACAGAATTTAAGTAATAGGACACTGTATTAAATTAGTGTACCCAAATTCGGTAATGCAATTTGTTGGCCTTCGAAGAAATAGCCCGGAGTTGTTTGGTGTTTTCTGGTTTCGCGTTGCCAATGGCAACAAGCCAACGCCTCTAAATTGCCTTTTTAACATAGCTGTTGATAAGTTTTTAATTAACTTTCAGCTTATTAGGTGGCCTGTAAATGGTTTGTGGCTTTATAAACTTTTTAAGTGCTTAACGATTAAGATGGGAATATGGGAATATTCAATCAATTTTAAATAATATGAAACTTATCTGTGAAATTGTAATTACAATATTCATCAATGATAAAATCTGTTAGTAAAGCTTTGAAAAATTAAAACAAAAAACTCTGTCACTGGCATAATAGGAACAAAGCAACTTGATGGCCTAATAAATTTTCTTTTCATTAAATGCCCAACTTTTCAGTTTAGTTATTTATTTATCACGCATACGCCATGTTGCACAGAATATCTTGTAAGCTACAACAAACTCGTTTTTTTACTCAAAATATCCACATCGATTGTCAGTATTATGAGAACCATCAATATTTCAAAGGGATTTCACAGCAACCCGATAGAGCAATCAATTTCTTATGAAATTTTCATTTGGTCGTGAGTGAAAGGTCAATTTGGTGTAAATGCCTATTGATTTTTTCCATCGAGCCGACGGAATGAAATTGAAATTATTTTCAACGACAGCAGTTTAGCAGACGTGTCATTGCCTGGAAAGGCCTGCGAAAACATGGGACATGTGAAAAATAAAATAAATATTTATCTAGCCCGGAATAATTCCGGCAGTGAGAAAATCTCTCAAATTGCCCGAGGCTGCTTCTGCTACGTTCGTGTCATCTTATTAAATCACCCGAGATAGAAAAAGTTTCAGGCCGTGATGGAAGTTGGTTCGTTGGTTGGTCGGTGAAAGGGAAAGTAGAAAGTAGAAACTGAGTGCTCCACACACTGGCAGAGGTTCAACTGCCTCTTGGTCTCGACTGTCAAATCATTTTGTGATAAGGATATAACAAATGTGCTCACTGCTCGCACACAAACGCGGGCCAGGACTTTCTATCTCGCCTGCGTGTCTGCTTCATAACTGACAAATGAAAATGTCAAAAAATGTTTGCTGACAAGCCAACCAAATGAGAAAGAACATTTTCCATTTATCTCTGGGCCCAACTTGCCGAGAGACACATTTTCAAAATTTAATTAAAATTTCTATTCGGCTTAAACCAACCAAAGGCAGCAGGAAACCACTATTGAATAGTTCAATTAAGCAAAAACCAATAAAATATCCACAGTTCACCGAAGAGAAGTCCAAATAATTTATTCCGGGTTGGGCATTTAGTTTTGTGAATTTTCAGAGCTTTATTTCGAGTATCCTTACGTAATTTTATTTCCCCGAATTTCCCTAATTAACAGACTGCCATTGTGGGTAAGTCAGGGACTTAAGTATCCTCACCTGCCAGTGTATCGTTACAATCTCGGCTCAATTTCAGGCTAAGCACCATACATTTGGGGGAAGTCCGAAAGCAGCTGCGGCAGCATTAGGCCATAGAAAGTCGCCGGTCATGATTAATGTTCGGTTATTAATAATGTCCTCCTGTCGGCCGAAAAACAGACTTCAGACTTCAGGTGCCTGCCAAATCAAGTCAATTTGCTGGAATCCGAGTATCCATTACGCATTTTCATTGGCGCCAGACGGTTCTGTTCTGTTCTGTTCTGTTCTGTTTTCAGCCAACTGAAATTCGACTCGGTCTGTTGTCTGCTGTTTTGTACTATTTTGCGTGGGAGAAATGAGGATGGCAGCTAATGAAGCGCTGGATTCTTTTCGGATCCGCCTTTGTCCGACCATCTCGACCAGCTCATCTCGGGTTTCCCAGAAGCAGGTTGTTTTCCACGTAGAGGCAATTTCTTGGTGCGCACAATAAACCTGCATTTAAGTTAATTTTCCTGTAATTTATCTGTTATTTAACTAAGGCAGCCATTGTGCAATATGTTGCATGATTTATGCCTGACATTTTCAATTGTTTATTGCTCTCGTTTCCTGCTCTGCTTCGGTCCGCTCTGCCTTTTGTTTTTCACTTAGATTAATTTTGACAAATATAAATGTCAACCTGGTTCTGGTTCTGGTTCTGGTTGTGATCCTGCTGTTGGGGACTTTAATGAACTGCCCTCATAAAAATATGAATAATAAGCAAATAATGTCGGGGACAAGGTGGAAACACAATGATGCGCCTTAATGGGGCCGGCAAATTATTGGGATTATATCAACAAAGCGACCAATCCATTTCCATCCAATTAAAGTCGGACAATGTGCACTCAATTCGCATTTCGCTGTGTCAATCCTGCGAGTGCGATTTCCATTCCATTTTATCCAGTCGGATATGTATTTACATAACTGCGCTATCGATTCCGGGGAAAGAATGCAATAATTAGCTTGTTGTGGCTCTGATTCACTTGCTGGCTGAAACCGAAACCCATCCCATTCAATCCAACTCCATCCGATTCGATTCGATCCGATCCGATCGGATTCATTATGCAAGAAAACAAACACTTGAATAATTGAGAAGCCTCATTGAAACGAGAGCTGCAGCCATTGGCGAAAACTATTTAAAATAAATCACCCAGCTCAGACACAGAAGCTGTGAGCTTTTTATTGGGAATAAATTACCTCGGCGCCGCTTTATTTATGGCTCTATGTCACGCAGATAATGAGCCGAATTATTTTCAATTTATTCGCGTGTTAATCGCACGAGAGCAGAATTAGTTTGACTCCAATTACAGAACACACAGAATGTGTAGGGATTAAAGTAGAATGCCTGAAAGGAACATTTTTGTTTAATAGCATTTTGGGATTTGGGAGAGGGTTTTAATTAATTTTATAGTGATGCAAAGATAATAAATGACTAATCGAAATGGGCAAAATCGGTTTTACTGAAAGTTATTGGTAAAATACATATTATTTTGGGGTTAAATGTCCATGGGTACTTGTGTTTAGTAGTTTTCCAGGCTGTGGTAGAAAGTTTAGTCAACAATTTAGGTTTGATTTAATTTTGATTAAAAATTAATTGCAAATACTTTGCTAAAAGAGTTTTCGTAAACAATGAAAATAAAATATTTTGATAATGAGGAAATTAATTTACTTTAAACAGTTTTATTTTTTATGTGATAAGATAAGGGGTTTAATGAAAATAAACTATTTTCAGAGTTGGGAAACTAAATTAAATAAAATAGTTGTATATTTTCTGATGTAATAAAAAACAATATATAATATTTGCATGGCTAATAAAAAATATAATTCATACAAACTGAATTCATATTTATCCTTACTAATCCTTTCTTGGTTAATTTTTTCCTTTTCTTGCAGAATCAGCATTTAACGAGACACGAAACAACTTCGGGAAGAACACGCGGCAAATGCATTACATTATAATTTCATTAAGGACAAAAGCCTTTCTCTGCCGGCAGTGAAACAAAGTGAAAGGGAGATAAGAGGAAGAGGGAGAGCGGAGAAAGGCGTGCGGAGAAAGTCAGAGAGGCAAAAAAAACCGCAAAAGGCGACAATAGTCCCCGAGCCCATTCCCCATTCCCCATTGCCTACTTCTTGCGGCTGTCGAGTAAAAGAATCAAGGGCCTGGCATTTTTATGAAATTAATACAAAGGCCGCTGAAGGAGTAGCAGTGGAAGTGGTCGAGGAAGTGGAAGCGGAAGTGGCAGCCATGACAAGAGCCCCGGCGACAGGACAATGAGGGGCGGGACTGCGACAGCGATTCAAGTGGCAGGAGCGCTGCTTTTATGGCCCGACACCGCTCGAGTAGACGTGACAGCCTCCGATCGGCTAATAATATTTATCCGCGGCGCATAATCTGACATGCCAACGTGAGCCAGCTGGCCAAGAAGCCAACTAGAGAGGAAGCAAGAAAAGCCAACAAAACAGAGGGAAATCTTAGAGGAAAACAAACCAGAGAAGATGATGATCTTGATACTGCTCCTGGCGTTCCTGGGGATTTTATCATCCACTTTGGGATGCCCACCGGAGGTGTGTGTGTGCAAATGGAAGGGTGGCAAGCAGACGGTGGAGTGCGGTGGCCAGCAGCTCGCCAATCTGCCGGAGGGCATGGACCCCGGCACCCAGGTGCTCAACTTCAGCGGGAACAGCTTGCAGGTGCTGCAATCGGAGCGGTTCCTGCGGATGGATCTGCTCAACCTGCAGAAGATCTACCTGTCGCGCAACCAGCTGATCCGCATCCACGAGAAGGCCTTCCGCGGGCTCACCAACCTCGTGGAGCTCGATCTCAGCGAGAATGCGCTGCAGCACGTCCCCAGCGAGACGTTCCAGGACTACAGCTCCCTGATGCGGCTATCCCTCAGCGGCAATCCCATCCGGGAGCTGAAGACCTCCGCCTTCCGGCACCTGTCCTTCCTCACGACACTCGAGCTGTCCAACTGCCAGGTGGAGCGGATCGAGAACGAGGCCTTCGTGGGCATGGACAACCTGGAGTGGCTGCGGTTGGACGGGAACCGAATTGGTTTCATCCAGGGACCGCACATCCTGCCCAAGTCGCTGCACGGGATCAGTCTGCACAGCAACCGGTGGACCTGCGACTGCCGCCTGCTGGACATCCACTCCTGGCTGGTCAACTACAACACCCCGCTGGCGGAGGAGCCGAAGTGCATGGAGCCGGCGCGACTGAAGGGCCAGGTGATCAAGGGCCTCCAGCGGGAGCAGCTCGCCTGCCTGCCGGAGGTGAGTCCGCAGTCGAGTTACACGGAGGTGAGCGAGGGGCGCAACATGTCCATCACCTGTCTGGTGAGGGCCATCCCGGAGCCGAAGGTCCTCTGGCTGTTCAACGGCCAGGTGATGAGCAACGACAGCCTGGTGGACAACCTGCACATGTACTACTACATCGACGAGACGATCGGCGGCAGTGGAGCGGAGGAGAAGCGCAGCGAGATCTTCATCTACAACGTGGGCGCTGAGGACAACGGCACCTTCTCCTGCGTGGGCCAGAACATCGCGGGAACCACCTTCAGCAACTACACTTTAAGGGTGATCATCAAGGAGCCGCCGGTGGTCAATGAGGTCTCCTTCCCGCGCGACTACATGAACTACATTGTGGCCAGCAGCGCGGGAGGGGGGCATCATCTTCGTGGTGCTCCTCTGCACCATTGTGGTGAAGTGCAAGAAGCAAGCGGAGCCGGCCAAGCAGCGCAAGAAGTGCGACCAGGTGACCAGCATCGCAGGGGGAACGGATTCCTCCACGGGAAGCACCCAGGACACAGGAATGGGAATGATGAAGTGTGCCTCCATTTTGAATGACGGAGGAGATAGCTTGAATGGCAATGCAGGACTCATGCTGGGTGACACTCTGACCCCCACCAAGGCGGCGAATGGAGCAGCTGGCGGGGGCATCATCCTGGGCAATCAGATGAAGCAGAACCTGCTGCTGTATGCCACCCCCAATCCCGCCCAGCAGCAGCTGCAGTTGAATGTGAATCTCATGGGTACGGGACCTGGATCCCCTCCCCTCCTCCTCAGCAATGGACATGGATTGGCGGCTGCTTACTGCTCCCCCCCTGCTTCGCTACGGAACTACCAGGAGAAGAACCCCGATTTGGTCAACGATGCGGAGAGCGTGAAGCACAAGCTAAAGACCGCCGTGAGTTTGGACGGTGCCGGGGAGTACGAGACGCAGAGTGACTGTGGTCAGTACGAAGGTTGCTACCAACTGGCAGCTGCTCCACATCCGCACCAGGGTCACCAGCATCCGCATCCGGGTCACCCGCTGATGGGTCGCTTCGCCCAGGCGATGACCACGCTGCCGCGGGGCATGCAACTGAAGCCGGCGCCCCACCAGGTGGACGTGCACCTCAACCCGGTGTGCTTTTTGGGTCAGGATGGATCCTTTGCCTACGACTTCAGCAGCGCTCACTTGGTGCAGCAATCCCCTCAGCCGCAGCAGCAGCAGCAGCAGGTGCAACAGCAGGTGCAGCCGGCTGCCAACTTCTACCGCACTCTGCCGCACAACCGGCTGCACAAGCAGCAGCAGTTCCAGGCGGCGGCGGCAGCGGGCGGGAATCCCACACTGCGCTACAGCTTGGAAGCGGAGTTCATCCAGAGGAATCCGCCGGTGAGCTACGAGAAGTACCAAATGCCCAATGTGCGCTTCACAGCAGAGGGCTATCCGCAGCAGCAGCAGCAGCAACAGCAGCAACAACAGCAGCAGCAGCAACAGCAGCAACAGTTGCAGCTGCAGCAGCAACATCAGTTCCCCTCGCCGCCAGAGGGCTACAAAAGCGAACTTGCGATGATGCCGGCGCCATTTCAGCAGTGGCCCAGCTGTTTGCCCGGCTACCGCTTCGCCCAGTCGCCCACCAGCCAGCCAGGGGTGGCAGCCCCACCTGCCGCAGTGGTAGCACCACCCCCGCAGCAGCAGCAGCAACCAGCAACAGCAGCAGCAGCCACCTCCACCATTCCCGAATTGGATGAAAGCGAAGCGAATTCGCCGCGACTCGAGGAGGCCGCCGGATCGACAGCGCCACCTGGCGGCGAGGAGGATAGCCGCGAGGAGAGCGCGAAACTCAAGCAGTTGAACGGTCCTTTGGCCGACAGTCCCGACGAAGGATACGTGGGCGACGGCCAGGAGACGAGCGACATTTGACCCGGCCAACCGACGACTGCCAGGGAAGAAGCGGCCTTAGACGATTCGGTGGCTCTGTAAACTGCCGGCTGATCAACAAACCACTCATAGCCTAAGTTCGCTCCTTATTTGCCTCCTTGTTTTTCCTTTTTCCCGCTTTCCTGTTTCCTCCTTTGGTTTTAGTTACCTTTCCCCTTTTCTGTTTGCCGGCCAGCCCGCAAAAAACCGAGCCAACAAAAGGCGAACCCAAGTTTAACCTAATAATTGGCAGGAGAGGGAAAGAGAGAGGGAGAGTGCGAGTGAGAAAAGGAGAAGGCCCAGAAAACCAAATAAAAGGAGCAGGGAAACAGGAACTCTTTGGCAAGCCGAAGTTCAAATACCCAATCAATTGATAAGCCAGATTTTGTTGCAAAAGTTTACTTAGAGCGAAGGCAAAACCATGAAAGCAATTTTGTTCAAGAAAATTATGAAGTTTCATAAAGTATGTAGAAGGTGAAATAGAACTTAATATTTTAGTAATATCATTTAACTTTTTACTTCAACTACCAAGAAATCCAGTATTTACTTGCACAAAGTTTCCTAGTTTTTGGCACTCTCTGCCACCACTTTCACCACTCTTCCCCAGGACTTTTTGCGTTCAGGGTATTTGACCAAACAATAGGCGGACCTAACCTAATAAAGCCGAAAAACAAAGACGCCGCTAAACAAAAGCCTCTTGTCGTTGTTTGTTTCTGTTTGCTGCGTGCTTCGAGTGGCAAGCTGGCAGCATTTTATTTCCGCTGATGTAATTGAAAAACTTTTTCATTTAATATAAAGTTTTCAGCAGCTCTCGCCGCCCAAAGGCAGAAAAGAAAAAGGCAAGAAAGCGGGAAAAGAGGAGCAGGAATTTCAGGGCCTCCTAGACGAGAGGACATGTGGGGTTTCCTGTGTGTGCTTGTGTGTGTGTGTTCCGATTGAGATGTCGGGTTCTCGGAGGCGTTGTTAGTTGACAATCGACGGGGAAGTCCCACTCACCCAGTCACCAGGTTGCAGGCTGGGTCCCCCGTTTGGATCCACTTCTCTGGGTTCCACTTGAGAGGCAAGTGGCATGTGTTTTCGCCATGGCGACACCTGCTCTCCGTGACACAAAGGACTCCGGCTGAAGGACCCCGGCTGTTGAACCTCTCCGAGTCAAGAGTGCCGGCCGAAAATCGCGAGTGGCATTAAGGGCTTCCCCTTTGTAGTGTGCTCTAGTTTATGAAATTTTAATTCGGGCCACATCCGCGCCCGAGCTGCATTTAAATAATTTATCGCATTCAGAAGCTCAGCGGGTCCTAAGCAAACCTCTCGACTTTCATCCTTGCCCTTCACCTTTTAACCCCTCCAATCCCGACTTCGAATCCCCGCCTTAAGTTTGTTGTAGAGTCGAACACAAGTGTTTCCGGGTAACATTAAAGTAGATATCGTAAATTAGAGCGGCTAGCATCGTAAGAACTAACTAATATAGGATAACCCCAACCGTTTGAGACTTGTATGTAAATGTAGCCATAGAGATCGTTTAAGCAGAGCCCAGGCTTTCTCTTTTACCGTAACTGTTGTGTAAAGTGTTCGAGACTTTCCCCACTGTAACATAAATCGAAAAGAAATCGAGAGGAGAGGGCGATTGTGAAATGCTTGCAAAGTATTTGAAGGAGTTTAAGCAACAGGAAACCACAATTAGCAATGGCAAAATGCATATGAGAGCGAGGGCAGAAGCAATCATTTAAGCACAATATGGAATATTGTAAATTGCATAAATAAATCATTAGACGTAAGAGCCAGGCAAACACTAACACCTGCAGAACACACTCACTCTAACACTCACAATCACAATCACACTCACAATCACCAACACCACCACACTCGTACTTCGTACTCGGCATGATTTGTGTATGTAGCGAATGATTATGTTTTATGTTCACCAAGTGAGTTAGTTGGCAAGATGCACCTAAAGGAAAATATAGCAGCAGAAACTAAATTAACGAAGCAAAAATACCACAAACAAAAAACATTTTAGCCTAGCAAACTGTTTGAATCTCAGCCCGAACACACGAACACTCGAAGGTATATTAAACAAAAGAAGAATTGCCTGCAGGCAGAATAATTTTAAATATTATATGGCATACACTACGATATAAAGAGAATGTTAGCATTAAGTTAATGGCTAGGCGAAGCAGAACATATACGCATAAACCGAATAAAGGCCCATAAACGGTCGCGAAACATTTAAAGGATAACGGCCAGAGGACACACAATCTAGTTATAATTAATTTTCTAAGTTAAATTAAATTAAATGCATAAAGATAATAACAGAAGCAAGTGTAAAAAGGATAAGAGAGAAATTAAACCGAATAAAACGCATTAAACTGAAGAATTTAATAAAAACTAAATTATGCCGCTTTTTACTTAAGTCGAGCGCTGCACCGCCAACAAAAAACAAAAGGGAGCGCAAACAATTCCAGCGATTGAATATTAAACAGTCGGAGATGGAGCCTTTCTTCTTGCAGCAGGATAATGCCGTGCTAACGACGAATGGCGATGGCGATGGAAATGCAAATGCGCCGCTAAGTAGGCAACGCAAAATCCAGCGAAAGCTGGGCGAGAATGCCAGTCTAGATATGTTGGAATATTGAAAGAGAATTAAATGAGAGATGAACTGGGTGCGAGGAAATGGGGAATGGGAAGTGCGGATAAATACCCTTTTTGCTGATTAAAATTATCGCAGCCTTTTCTTGAGTTCCCTGAAAAAATTACCATAAAACTTGAGGCATCGAAAAGAAGAGTTGAAGCAAAATAGAAGAAGTTGTAGAAAAGGGAGTTTTTATTCGAATAATAGAGAGACATTAAAGTGAGCAAATTAATATTTAATTAGGAAATGGAAGACAGTCATAAACTACCTACGAATGCAGACCAATTAGTGAGTGAAAACGAAAGCTGATTGTAAATGCACAAAACATCTTAAAGTAGACCCCCTAAATATTCATAACTTAATAAATTCAGTGAGGCGAAATGCAATTATCGTAAGTCAAAGGCAACCCAAGGCGCTGTCGAAATCCCACCAAAACCCGAACGCTTTTGGCATATGTAATGACAGCTTTACTGCCGCAAGTTTACCCAACCAGCAAAACCCGTTGCAGCTCAAGGTTGTTTTGCGGGCCTCAAGATGCCAAGATGCGGAGATGCGAATATGCGAAGATGGCGCACATTACGCATACGCAGTGTCTGCCCAAAATGAGCACATCGAGGCGCGGCAAGGTCGCAGCCGAGCTCAAAGCACAGCTAACACACCCGGAACGGACCGGACGGACTGACTGACTGACGGACGGACGGACGGACTGACTGGAAGCCCGGAATGAGGAGACCTCGGCACTGACGCATTACTCGTTTCAGTGCGCAATAATGTCATTAAAGGGCGCAAACGGAGAACGCCAAAAGGAAAGCACAACTGGGTCAGTTAATGCAGCCAGTTGTTACCTCGACCTGACATTTATGAGCAGCTGCAGAGAGCTGTGGAGCTGCGGATGGCTGCTCCCCCGGAGCGCCGAGCAATTAAAAGCCGGGCTTAAACCAGCTCCGCTCCAGCAGCTCCGCTCCACACGAGTGTCGAAATTTATTGGAAATGCCTTAAGCTCGCACACCCGAAAGACGTCTAAAGCCGCCAAAAATATGGCCAACACAGGGGGTGTGGGGAATCGAGGGTCCTTCTCCTCCTCTCAAGCAGCCACATCGTTGACAGCGATGGAGAGAAAAACCAAAGCCAGGCAGGAATTGCGGCAACGGCATCAAAATCAAAGACGAGCACCCGGCTCCAACCGAAAACCAAAGTCGGAGGCGCGCATAATTAATGTAGGCATAAAAACAAGTGACTTGTAAATATTGCCAAGGCAATGCTCGGGACCTACAAGCACGCCCACCCCCAAAATCTCCCGAATGCCGAGTATCTCTGGGATGCGAGTGTGAAGGGGGTTGCGCCCTCACTGGGGCTACTTACAAAGTGGCAAGTACGAGTGAGGACTGCGAGGCTGAGGTTTCCAGGCACCACACAGTGGGACCAACTTCCCCGGAAAGTTGCCTGTTTACTCCAAGAGTTTTCCTGGAAAACTGAGAGCATAAGAATTTGTTTTGTAAATTTGCTCAAGAGGTAAGTGGAACTCGCGAAGCATTGGAGTTTAATTTAATTAAATTACAATTTAAAAGTATTTAAATGAGGTGGTGAAAGTTATTGTGCACGGATTCTTTGAAACATTTTTCTACGCATGAGGTTGAAATTAAGATGTATAGGAAAGCAGATAAGATTAAATAGACCTTAAGGACTCATGATTTAATTTAGGGCCCTCTGCTGGTTATAATTCTCGTGTAATTAATAAACCAAAATTACTAGAAAAAAAGCATTGGCTATATGCTTATTAAAAATTACGGTCCTTTATATTTTTATTACAAATTTTGAACCAAAATAAAAATAAATATATGTAAGTCAATTTTAAAAACAGGACTTCCATTCAAAAATCAAGTTATATAAAAAATTTAAATAAAATATCAAACAAACAGGTAAATATTAAGAACGTAATGATCTTCAAGGTAAAAAAGAATGTCAATTTATGGTTTGGTATAAAAAAAACAAAAAATCAAATAAATTCGAATTTTCATAAAACAGAAATTTAAAGATGTCCTTAATTTATTTTAACATTCATCTTGTTTTTTTTTTCTTCAGACGCCATCGAACTTGTGGAACATTTTAAAGGATATCCTTGAAAACAACATTGACAAAATATAAATAAATTTAATTAGTAGGCTCAGTAGTAGTAAATAGTAGGCTTTAAAACCATTATTTAAGTAAGCATTAAGTGCGTGATGAAAAGTGATCTAATCAGATTGTAGGGCCCGCATCATGTTGCATCCTCGACTAGTTTGAAGTCACGGTGCAGCATGTTGGTTTCACTTTGGTGGCAAGGCGGTCGAGTGGCGAGTGGGCAAGACGCAGAGCCACTTAAAAGCGCACACAATCCAGCTGCTCGGCATGTGTGTGAGTGGGTGTCGTCCTGGTTGTTTATGTGTGCGAGAGATGGCCGACATCAGCACCACTCCCTCTCCCACCCGCTTCGTCCTTCGTCCTTGTGGCCGCTTGCCTGCGTTTATATGGTCTAGTGATTGTGACATTGTAGCTACAATTACAAGCGGAAGTGACGCACATCAACGCACAAATATGGAGGCGTCTATCTTTGCTTTATGTACGGCTAATGCGCCACTAAAGCTGCGCACAAATTGGGCTTATCGTATGGTTATTCCAATTCTATTTTATGCCCCAACCCAACTCGTCCCGACCGCCTGGCAACTTGGATGCCCCGAACATTGTGTGAAAAATGTTGAGTCAAAGTTTGTGGCGTTGGAGCGGAACGAACGCTTGATATCCGCACACAAGTTGGCTAGTTTGTCTTATAAAGTTATTAACCAAAATTAATGTTTGTTATAAAATTTGCTGTGTGGTTCGGAAGTGCTTGTGCATAAAATAAACGATTCAGGCAGTCGATGTATGTGCGCCAACCACAAGAAAGGCAATCAGAGTCATGCATAAGTAAACCATCTCGAAATGGCAGGTGATTCATGGCGAACTTTGTCGGTCATTAGGCTTGAAGAGATTAGGCGCTGAGTTGAGCTGGCTTAATATGCCCATTAAATATTGATGGCTACATTGCATAAATTTGCGACTCTGAACTAAAACTTGCAGTGCTTGAAACTTCTTTTGTGGCTTTTCCAGTATTTTAAGGCACGTTGCCTGCCATTTCAAAACTTAACCAATTTCGAATCCCTGCTCCGTTTATGTGACTCGTTTTCGGTTTAGCCATAAAAGAACGGATCCTGGTCTTTTGTCACAGGTTCCTCGTAGAGTCGGAATTAAATATTCACATTCACGCATGCATGCACATTAATTTGCATAACTAATAATCCTGTGCCCAGGAAAAATGCTGTGCAAGAACTTTGAGTGGCCCGAGCAGAAGCAGAAACAGAAGTGGACTGTGGACTGTGGAAATATGTCAAACTGCAAAACTCGGCTGACAAACAATGGACAGGACCGAAACGTGCCTGGCCACGAATCGAGCAGCTGCGGCGTAGATGTCTCCAAATTAATTCAAACTCATAAAATATTGACTACAAACAGACTCGGCCTGCCAGCTGGCCCAAAGATGATGTGGGACGGCCATTCATCTTGGAAAACCTTACACGTATTCCGGGCATTCGACTCCTCCTCGTATTTGTCTAGTTGTCAATTTTTAATGTGGCTGCTTGACAAATCAATTTTGCGAGACTGCAACAAATGAAACGAACAAAGGACTTCTACTTCGTCGAAAACTTTCTATTTGCCAGATCCAAAGGCACACAAAGAGCAATGTCAACGTCTTTAGGATAATTTGATTCGGATCTCTCCGGTCCTCTCTCACTATTTTGCCAAATTGATGGAATTTTAAATTTGTTTTGCCAGGCAACGTCCATTGACTGGCAATTAGAATAATTTGGCCAGCTGTTGCCACATCTTGGCTTCTCTAGTCGGACCCTTATCCTTGGCCATTCTGCTGGTGATTACACCGGAATATTTGCCAAAATATTTAATGGTCACACTTGCGAGTGACTCGACAGGTAAATAAGAGAGGATTGCATAGTTATTTGTAATAGATACGAATATTCGACACCTCAAATGTAAATTGGTTTTAAAAGGGAGTCAATGTTTGCCTAAAAGCTGAAGTGATTCATTTGGAGTTGCTTTCAGGGGAAAGATAAATCATTTATTGGGTGAACTCCATATATTATTTTTTTAATGAATAATAACTTATTCTGAGCCTACACTAGTTTAAACTTTTCTAGTTCTATGTGAAGGGTAGGAGTTATTTACGAAAGGTATGTGTTATATATCTTTCTACTTTTCGGACAGGTTGATTTCATTGAAATAAATTCAACCAATGCATATTTTAAGGCGAAGCAGGCAATCTCTTATGCTTATCCTTGGGAAGTAACTACCCAATATTTTCACTGAACACACACAGATCCTGCCCGAACCCTTTTGCAGGGATACTTTGAGTATTCTCCAAACACAAATCACCAAATAACCAAACAGGTTTTCTGGTCAAAGCCATCCGCACACAGATACACTTACACACTCGCACACACTCACACACGCTCACCGTTTCTCCATGCGTATTAAGTGTAATTAACTTGGCCAGAACTTCGGCTGGGTCTGAGATGGCCCTAAGGTTTGCTCTAAGCTTTGTTTGTTTATTTCCAGCCTTTGTAGTATAATTTAAATGGATTTTGTGGCTATTTTAAAGATAACCGCTGCAGTTCTTCGGCTATCTTCGCTATAATAAGTCTAAGTTGGCCAAGTGGTGGCCTGGCTTCC